GGCTGGGATTTGGGGTGAATACAGCCTGGAGCTGTGGCTCCCTGGCACTTGGAACCTGCGGTGTTCCACTGCTGTTGGAGGAGTCCTGGTGTGTGTCTGGTGTGTGTGGTGCTTCTGTGCAGCACAGGGGTTCCTGTCTGCCTCCCCTCCAAGGGGGCAGCTCTGCTTTGGTCCATCCCCTGTCCCCTGGGGTAGATGGGAAGGAAGCTGCAGCAGCACGGCTGTGGAGCTCCCAGTAAATGCCAGTTTGTCATGCCTCCTCACTGGGGCCAGGTTTGTCCTTAGTCCCTCACATTGCTGGTGTGCAGTGAGGGCTTTGTGTGCTCCCTGCAGAAACAACCTCGGACCCACTGTCCTTGTTAGAGGGGGAGGAGAGGAGGTGACCAAGTCCTTCTATCAAGTAAATCAAAATTACTTGTAGTTCTGATGTCTTCCTGTTTCTTTGAACACTTGCAACTTCTTCTAAAGCCTCTTTACAGGAAAATAAAAGTCACAGGTCTTCTTTCATAGGTACTGGCCACAAGTGAGCTCCTTTTTCAGAGTAACAATAGAGCAGCTCAGGGACAGAACTTTTCTGGTCAGGTAACACAGGGTAAAGCCGGTGATATGCCTGTCTATTTTGACAGGCTAAGCTCCACTTCTGCATTTTCTCTTTGTTCAGATTGAAGCTCATGTTAGTTTTCTTGTTCGTGGTAGAGCAAAGTTGTATTTAAGGGTAGCATTGATCTGAGTGCTCATGCTGTTGAACACATGGAACTTCGTTTGTTGGCTGCATATCCCACAGATCAAAGAACTATTTTTTGTGACCTGTGACTCAACAGTGATGAGATTTAAGAGTGACATTTTAGATGGCTGTTACTAAGATGAATAAAGATTCACAGGATCACAGAATAATGAGGTTGGAAGAGACCTCTAAGATCACTGAGTCCAACCTGTGCCCTAACACCTCAGCTAGAGACATGGCACCAAGTGCCGTGTCCAGTCTTTTTAAACACATCCAGAGAGGGTGGTTCTACCACCTCCCTGGGAAGAACATTCCAGTACTTTATTATTCTTTTGGTGAAAACTTTTTCCTAATATCCAGCCTATCCCTTCCCTGCTGGAGCTTGAGCCTGTGTCCTCTGGTTCTGTCAGACCGACCCCACCTGTCTGCAGCCTCCTTTCAGGAAGGTGTAGAGAGCAATAAGGTCACCTCTAAGGTTCCTCTTCTCCAGGCTGAGCAGCCCCAGCTCCCTCAGGAGTTCCTTACAAGGTTTGTGTTCCCAGCCCCTCTCCATCCTCGTTGCCTCCTCTGGATGTTCTCGAGCGTCTCAACGTCCTTCCCAAACTGAGGGGCCAGAGCTGGGCACAGCACTCCAGGTGTGCCCTCAGCAGTGCTGAGCACAGGGGCAGAATGAGCTCCCACCATTCCTGACCCAGGCCAGGAGCCATTGGCCTTCTTGGCCACCAGGGCACACTGCTGGCTCATGTTCAACCGGCTGTCACCAGCACCCCCAGGGCCCTTTGTGCCTGAGCACTGTCCAGCCACACTGTCCCCAGCTTGTAATGTTGTAGGGGATTGTTGTGGCCAAAATGTGGAACTCGGCACTTGGACTGCTTAAACTTCGTGCTGCTGGACTCTGCCCATCCATCCAACCGATCTAAGTCTCTCTGCAGAGCCCTCCTTCCTTCCAGTAGATCAACACAAGCTCCCAGCTTAGTGTCCTCTGCAAATTTACTGATGAAGGACTCGATGCCCTCATCCATGTCATCTATAAAATATTGAACAGAGCTGGCCTCAGCCCAGAGCCCTGAGGGACACCCCTGGTGCCTGGCCCCAGCTGGGTGCAGCACCATCCCCATCACTCTGAGCCCAGCACAGAGTGCTCCTGTCCCAGCCCTGGCTGCAGCTTCTCCAGGAGGGAGCTGTGGGAGACAGCGCCAAAGGCCTTGCTGGAGCCCAGATAGACACATCCACAGCCTTTCCTGCACCCACCAGGCTGTCTGTTCCACAAGCAGTTGATTTATTCAAGCATGGTGTCCTCCAGCTGGCAGCCTCTGCCTCTCTCCGGTGTGCTGTGCTGAGCTGCACTGATGGCCCAGGCTCCCCAGGGATGGCTGTGGCTGGCAGCAGGAGCAGATAGATAATCTCTGACTCTCCCCTCTCCTCCAGGCTTGCTGGCTGCTGGCAGCAAAGCAGGAGCAGCCCCAGTTGCCATTGAGGGAGGTAGAGCTGAGCCGTGGCCCTTCCTTGGGGCGCTTGGGAGGAAGCTGAGTCAGTGTGGCTTCCTGTAGCACCTGTTCTTATCAGCTCCTGCAAGAGATGATTAACTGGGCTCTGCCCTGCTTCACTGGCAGCTCTGAGTCACTGCTGGGAGCCTAATGGCGCTTTAGATGGTTTTCTGGATTAAGAATCACATTTTAATTGCCTTCTCTGTTAAAGGGGAGTTTGTGTTTGCTCTGCCAAAATGCGTGATAAGCCTTCATCCCATTACAGCGGTTGTTTCATTTTCTAGCGCGTTTCCCTTATTTAAAGCAAACAGAGCTCTTTAGTGGCTGAGAAACAGTGAGTCATGCATTTTGATACTATAAAATGTGACACCTGCAAAACTGTTTTCTCACAGCACGGTTGGAAATGTTATCAGGTCTAGGATCAAAGCTGTGCCTCAACAGAGGCCTGGTCACATGAGGCTTTATTGGGATTTGCAGAGATGTTTTGTCACCAGGCTGCTATGTAGGTGTTTGAGTATTCCACACATACACACCCGCTTTTGTGGCACCCCTGATTATACCATTGCATGCAAATATAAAGATGCACAGATGAGATACAGAGCTTCTTTAAAAAAAAAAAAAATCACAAATTTTTGGAAGTTTAGCTGTAGTAGTAATGAATATTGTCATGTTTAAACTGAGGCTAGGCTTTGGTCTTGAATTCAAGACTGTAATCCATGTTTCTAATAATTTATGGGCATATTTTGTATCTATTCAAGTGGTTACATTATGTATGTGTATACCTGTCTCAAAGGAAAGGTGCAAAGGTTTTCCTAAATTGTTGATATTGATACTGTTTTTGGCTTTTTTTGGAGGTTTGCCGATCTCACTCTTGCAAACTTTTGCACATTTCACTTTCAAAATAAAGAATTTGCCTTTCTCTAATAGAGAGGTAAAACAAGTAAGGAGATGTATTAGCCGTGCTGAAATGTTATAAATTTTAATATCTTCAGAACTGCACTGGAAGTCCTCAGGAAATTTCCTTTTAATGGAAGTGCTTGGATCATTATTCTTGGACTGTAAATGTGAGTGTTTTCAGCCAGAAGCAAGGCTTGCAGTTCTTTTCCCTTATTCAATAGACCTTTGGCTGACTCCACTTCCAAAGATGCATTTCTTACTGCAGCATATTTTAAGCTTGGCAGAAAACAGGATTGCAGTAGATTCCCTCTGCACCAACCTTGTGCTTTGTCAACAGGAGATCCTGCCCTCGTTCCAGCAGGGCAGGGAGAAGCTCGTGTGCCATAGTGAGAGGTGCATTTCTGACTGCTTGCCTTGTGCTAAACACTCCTCTGTCACAGCCTTTTTGTTCTCAGTTCAGCTCCTCTTATCAATCTCTGAAACCTGAAACTGCAACATCTCATGCTAGTAGGAAGCCTTGATTATTTTTTTATCATTACTTCTAAGCAAGCTAAAAAGAAGACGCTGCTCAGTGTGCTTGTCCAGTGAATGCTTTTCTGTTGGCTGTGCTTGTCTCAGGCAGGCCATCATTCTCAGCTCTGTGTTCTCCTGCAGCATCCCTGCAGTCATGATTTCAGGTCTCTGGCAGAAGTTATGGGATCTGCAGGCAAGTGGGGCATTGAGGTTCCTCTGGGAAATCATGACTCTGCTTTGTCTGGCACACCTTGTAGCTGTGCAGGTGTCTGTCTGGGTTATCCACTACCTGAGGCTTTGGGAATTTCTTCAGTTAAACCCAGAAATAAAGAGTCTTGTCATGCCCACACTGGAAAGGTAAACAGCAAAGATCTGCTCTAGGAATTCTGGTGGGATGCAAGGACACAGACATGTCTGTGCTGTCCACACATAAATTTGTCTCTTTTAAGGAGTACAAATAGAAAACAAAAGGATTTTTAGTAAATTCAACAATAGCTGTTGCATGTTGATTTTTAATTTTTAGATAGTTTTTGTTCTCTGTTTGGTTGTTGCTGAATAGGGGATGGGTTCGGATGAGTAGGAAAATTCCTTGGGAATTTTCCCAAGTTGTGGGATCTCAAAACTGATTAGTTTTGTTAGTTGGTTTAATAATTGCAAAATGTAATTGATATCTTAAATTGATAATGTAACTTAATCACAGTGTGAAACATCTTAAAACTATTATATTAAATTTGCTGGTTTGGAACAAATGTCCTACTTTTTACTGACAGGCTGGTAGGTTGTGGCTTTGATAGTACAGTTCATGTCTGGGCTGTATGGCTTACTATTGTTCTTTTTAAGAATAAGTGAAAATTTAAAACAGAATGTGCAGAAGCAAACTCTTGTCTGGTGTGTCTTGATGTGTCCCCCTCATTTAAGACTGACTACCTTTGCAAAGGGCAGGTTGCAGAAGTGTAAATTCAGCCTGTGGCCTGAGCAGGTTTTGCCAAAATAGGTTGCATTGGGAAAAAAAAAAAAAGATCCCTAACTTCTAATTTCATTCTTTGATGAGAACATTTAATTTAACAGTAAGAATCAAAATAAAATGCTCATTTGTATTAGACCTACCCATTCTGAAAGAGATTTGTGTGAATGCATCTTCACAGGCAGGCTCAGCTGAGCAGGTGCTGTCTCTGTAAATCCCACAGCAGCAAACAGGTAATTCCTGCTGCCCATTCAACGTTCCAAGCAATTGTAAATACAAACACGAGTGCAACAAAGAAAATGGAGCTGGATTATCTTGGAAACATCTCCATGGAGTGTGAATGCCTTGAAAATCTAGATGTGTAATGTCTCTGCAACTTTGAAATGCTGAAGCTGTGCCTTGTTTCTGCTTCCAGCACCTCATCCCGTGTAGCCAAAGGACTGGACTGCAGCAAGATGAGCCTGCACGGGGCCAGCGGGGGACACGAGAGGTCCAGGGACAGGCGCAGGTCCAGCGACAGATCCCGGGACTCGTCCCACGAGAGAGCAGAGTCTCAGCTCACCCCCTGCATCAGGAATGTCACCTCACCAACAAGGCAGTACCATTCTGGTGTGTGCAGCTCTCTGCCATTGCACCACTACAGTTCTCCAAATTTGAGTACTCTTTTGTTAAAGGAATTCAATAAAAAGTCTTATTTGGTGATGGCACAACATACACATTTCTTACATGTGCCCTGAGCTGGGAATACCATTCTTTGATAGGCTGTAACTTTTTTTGCAGTCTGCTGTGTGTATTCCTACATGATGCTCTTATTTAGTTCAAATTACAAGAACAATCTAATTTTTATAGATAATTGACTGAAAACATCCCCTTTACTCTGTAGGGTCTAGGTATTTGGAAATAGAGGAAATAGGGATTTTTTCAAGTGACAAAATATGGTTTATTTCTTTGAGCTGCAGCACCAACTGTGATGCAATAGCTTCTGTATCACGTTGAGTTCCTTTTTCAGTACTAGAGTAGTAAATTTTCTTTGTAAAGACTTTTGGGGAGGGTGAGGTGGGTTTGATGTCTAGGTGATGCAGACTTTGGAATCTCATAAATGGGCAGTTATTTTTGAAGGTTTCTTTAACCAGAATAGATTTAACCAAAATAATTTGTACTTAACTTCTGAAATGGGTGTGTTTTGTGCCCAGAAGGACACAAGCTACATAGGACTCCTCTAAATCTCTAATTTCATTTCCTGTTTTTTCTCCTTCCCCACCGAAGATCGCGAGAAGGATCACAGCTCATCCCGGCCCAGCAGCCCCCGGCCCCAGAAGACGTCCCCCAATGGTTCTGTTGTCAGCATGGGCACCAGCAGCAGGAACAGCAGCCAGTCCAGCTCGGATGGCAGCTGCAAGGCTGCTGGGGAAATGGTGTTTGTGTATGAGAATGGCAAAGAGGGAGCCCGGAACGTCAGAACTTCCGAGCGAGTGACGCTCATCGTGGACAACACCAGATTTGTTGTAGATCCTTCCATCTTCACTGCACAACCTAACACGATGTTGGGCAGGTTTGTATCTCTTTTGGCTTTGGTTTTTTCCTTAGCCCCCAACTCTTATAGAGAGCTGGATATTTAAACTGTTTGAATAGCTGTTGGACTCATATTGCTGCAGCTGATCTTGCTAATGTCAAATATTACCAGTTTACAAATGTCTTTAAGTAAAAATTGAATGCAAGTTCTCTGGTTTTGGCAGGAAAGCCAAGAGGTGTCTATTACCTAGAGATGACAGCTGATAAATAAATCAGCATTTCATGATGTTCCCATTTCTTTCTGTCTTCCTGGGCATTGCTTCTATGTTCAGTCTGCCTCACTCTTCCTCATTTTTCAAGCTAGGTGGGTGCTTCATAAAACAAGGTGGCATAGCAAGTGTAGACGGTCTCTTTCAAAACAGCAAGGAGGAAAATCTTGAAGGAATTTATTTTGCTTAGTGGGCCTACCCTGACAATGTTCAAGCTCAGCCCGTTTATCTTCTGAAATGTCAAATAATCAGTGTAACAGCCCTGAGCCACTCAGCAGAGAGGCTGAATACTCAAAATGATCAACACTTGAATGCAAGTCTGCAATATGTGTGTAATGTTTTCTGTAGAAACTATAATGAGCAATATATTTAACATGTTTGCTTGGTGGGGAAAGATTCCATAACTGACTGGCTCAAATTCTGGTTGGTTTTGCCTTGTCCAAATGTAGAGGGCACCACTTAAAGTCTTACTTCAAGAAAGAAAAGAAGGGTTTGTCTGTGTCACTTTGGATTTGGCTTTTTCATTAAAATACAGCTTTTTCTCAGCACACAAGGATATAATCATATTTAAAATACATGTATATAAATCTCCTTGCCACATTACAGGTAATAAATGTGATTACACAATTTCTGCTCTGTTTAAATCACTGCAATGTGGGATAAATAGTACCTTGGATCCCTGTTTTGTGAAAAGTTGGCTGAGTCACAGAGGAAGCAAGAAATGCTTCTCTGTCTAAACTGTCAAAAGAAATAAATGGAAGTAAGAATCAACAGAATTAAATAATTGATTTAAAGCACTTGTATATTATACAATACATGCATACATATAAATATCCAGGCAGACTGGAAGTGTATCAGCTGAAAAGAAGCAATGAAAGAGTTTCCTTTTCCATGCCCAGCCTCAGAGTAAGAAGTGCTGCCTGATGCACTGGATTTTTTGTGCATGTGTGATGCTGAGTTATTCTCCCTTTGGGATTGGTTCAAGGAACAAGCTTATTTTACCTTTTGCTAATTGAAAAGTAGGTTAATAAAGATACAGAAATAGTGCTCTAACACTCAGGGTATTTATAAACCCACTTTCCCTCAATGCCAGTCTGCAGGACAGTAAGCAGGAGCAGCTTGGGAGGTAAAAGTAGCTATAATAAGAATGTACTGTTTGCCTTAAGCCTGTATCCTGTTAGACTGTGATTTTCTAAATATTATTTCTTGTAGAGTGGTCAGGAAAGGCACGTCAGATCATGAGGTGAAACCATAACCCAACTGAACAGAGTGCACTGCTTTTCCCTGCAGTTTCTTCACAATTTCTTGCATTTTATTTTTCTTATTTACAAACAAGAAAACCATAGTGAGGAATTCTAACCCGAATTGCTTTCGTTCTTGAGCAGGATGTTTGGATCAGGCAGAGAACACAACTTTACACGGCCCAATGAAAAAGGAGAGTATGAAGTTGCTGAAGGAATTGGTTCTACTGTGTTTCGTGCTATTCTGGTGAGTTTTTAGGGGCAAATACTGTTAGGACAAGCACTGATAAGAAGTAAAACCTCTTGGTTTAACCCACCTTGCATATCTAGATGTTGTGGATGGCATAGATACTGCTCTTTATATTGTTTAGTAGAGGGGAGAAGATGATTGCTATGAACCCCCTTTTCTTAGGCATGGACTTGTGACAGTCAGGGAGAGAGAAAGTACTCATGGAAGAAACCAAAAGTTACAGTTCACCTTTTCCTAGGCATGTAGTTCACCAAATTCAAGTATTTTCTGCCCTTCTAGAGCTGAAGTTAGGTGAAACAGAATACTGGGAGTGAGCTTCAGGCAGCTAACAGGAGTCAAACAAACTTCAGGCTGAGATGGAAATGGCCCCTTATTTAATATCCACACAAGGAAGCAGAGCTGCTGGACTGCTTTGTCAGCAGCCTTGGAATGGGAAGAGCTCAGTGAAGTACAGATAAAGGACAGCAAAATTATCAGTATTAATAGTTGTCACTTCAATAACATTTTTAACCAGAACTCACTGCTCTGAATGCAGCTCTGAAAACTGATAAATCAGAGGACAGAAAGATTCACAAAGTTTAACATTTGTTGCTGTCCTACATTTTGTGGGCTTTCTGTGTGGAGAAGGCACATGAATGAAATGATGCAATGTTTCCCTTGGTGGATGTTGTGCATTGTGCTTTTTCTTGGTGCCTCCTGCAGGATTACTACAAGACTGGGGTGATACGCTGTCCTGATGGGATTTCTATTCCTGAGCTGAGGGAAGCATGTGACTATCTCTGTATCTCCTTTGAGTATAGTACTATCAAATGCAGAGATCTGAGTAAGTACAGAGTTCATTACAATCATTTGAGTTATACAAATTGACTTAAGTGTGTGTGTGTGTTAATTCTAAATCATGTCCTTTATTGAGATAAGGAAGAGGGCTGGCAGTACATGAATGAAATCCATCCCTTTTTATCTCTTATGTAATAAAGCCTTAAAACCAATGGATTTATGTTCTTTGAAAAATAACGTCTGATATCTCAGCATCTGACTCTGTGCCGTGGTCACCCTGTGGAATATTAGCTCTATGACTGCATTTGCAGTACAGACACAGTAACATTGAGTGGTACCTTTGTTTGCAGAGGACAGGGAGGATCATTTTCCAGCTCCTTGCTTAGGAGAATGGGGCTGTCTCCCTGGTGGCAGTGGCACAGCTTTGCTGTGGAGGGGGCAGCTCCAGGATTCCCAGCTCGTGCTGTTCTCTCCAGCTGCCTCAGCCCTGAGCACAGCCTGTGCCTGCTCTCCCTGTGTGTGCAGTGCAGGGCCAGCCTGTGGCATTCCTGCTGGGAATGCACCCAGGGCCTTCCCTGCAGGGCCACCTCCTGCCCCATGCCCGAGCTCTGTGTCCTTGCAGGGATTTAGCAGCTCCTGCCCTGGGGGCTTTGAGAAGCTTTGGCTTTAAGCTGCTGCTTATGAAACGTGGGTTGTGTGCTCTGCTCTCCCAGCAACTGGCTGAAATGATGTTTCTTTTGGAAAACCAAGAGCAGCCTTGCACAATTACCAAATATTTAGCAGTAGTGAAATGCACAGGAGGTCTCCAAGTGCCCAACACTATGTTAATATCTGCAGGACAGGCTGGTAAATATTCAAACAAGGTCTGAACCTACATAAGCTCATAGACTAAGTGTCCTTACACCTGTCTGCAGAAATACTACAAGATAAACAGATCTACTCTTTCCTATTGCTGCCTTCATCTCTTTACCAAGCTCTCAAATGTGCCTATGCTTAAAATTTTCTTCTAGGTGCTCTCATGCATGAGCTATCAAACGATGGTGCTCGCAAGCAATTTGAGTTTTACCTGGAAGAAATGATCCTGCCATTGATGGTAGCCAGTGCCCAGAGTGGGGAGAGGGAGTGCCACATTGTTGTGCTGACAGATGATGATGTCGTTGACTGGGATGAAGAGTATCCCCCCCAAATGGGAGAGGAGTATTCACAAAGTAAGTTTATCCTCATTGTTCCCACCAAGCCATGCCATGGTAGAGGTGGCAGTGAATGTGCTGATTTTCTGTTGTACAGAAATAAACCTCTTAGTTTGACTAGTTCTGCTTAATATTTTGTTTCACAGAAGCATATTATGCTTGTTCTGTTCAAGTGTAATTAAAAAGAGAAGCTAATTTTTATTATTAAGGTATTGTTAGCCAGTGAGGAGAAAGAAAATACTTTTTTAGAAAGAGCTTGAGGAGAGAAATGGGTGAGAGTCATGTTTACTGTGGAAGAGCAACTAGAGGTTTTTTTGAGGAAAAAACCAAATGTTACTATTTTTGGAGAAGAACAGTTGTGTGGATGATGAGTTTAAGCACCTGTAAATGGGCTGTACTTCCCTGCAAGATGTGCACCCAACCCATTCCCCAGTATCTTCAGCTGTTTTTCCTCTGGAGTTCTTGAATTTCTTCTCCTCCTCCAAAATAAAAATACCGGAGTAAAGCAAAGCAGTGGAAAAGATAAACTTTTATGTTTTAAGGCTAGAAGGTTAATATTTGAATACAGGGATTTTTTTCTCATTAAAATGTATTTTTAGTTATTTACAGCACAAAGTTGTACAGATTCTTCAAGTACATTGAAAACAGAGACGTGGCCAAATCGGTTCTGAAGGAAAGGGGGCTCAAGAAGATCCGACTGGGCATCGAAGGTAAGGGAAGCATTGCTTGTGCTCTCCCTCCCTCTTTGGCCTCAGGGTCTGCTGCCCTTCTCTGCTCTGTGGCTTTCTCTGTGCCTGGAAAAGCAAGGGCTCAGTGTTGTTTTTCCTGCTGAGGCTGGGTGACACAATGGCCAGAGGGGAATGGTACCCAGCTGGAAAACCTGGCTGTGGGCTCCAGAGTGGTGTCCGAGCTGAGGGCTCTGTGCAGACAGCTTAGGTGCTTCTACTGCCTTCATGACTTGCATCTCATGCCCTTTGCCCTTCAGTGTCCACACAAAACCTTCTCTGTGCTTTGTCTGAAGTAACAAGGCATTTGTACAGCTCTGTGTTCTTGGGCTGTGTCCTTTCCAGGGTGTGAAATGAAAAATGTCGTGTTAAGTGGCAGGCAGACATTTTCTTTCAGGAAGTACAAAACTATCCAGTGGATCAGTGAAGTGCAAAGAAATACTGATCTGAAATAAACATCGTGTATGCTAGGAGGCTGCTCTGTAATATCTGACTAAGTAATCTGATTTTTATTGTGAATGTAAGAACTGGGTTTCTTTGCATTATTTTTCTTCTGATTACTGACCCAGATATTTTAGAATCCAGCCTTTATAATTAGCAGGATTTCTATCATTCACTCACCAAGTTGTCATAGTTACATTTGTAATCTGCCAAGAAAAAGCAAATGCTTTTAACTGGTGAGCCCTAAAATAACTAAATTCAGCTGAACAAGGTGGGAGCCTTTCAGCTAAACAAGAGCTGGCCCTGCCTGTAATGCTGGCTAATAGCAGATTATTTCTGCTGGCATTTCTTGGTCTGACAAGGAACAGCTGTGGCACCAAGCTGTGAAGCTGGTGCCCTGCAGTAATGTGCAAAATGGACATTGTTGTTGGGGCACAGGGAGAGGTGACTCGAACACAGCACAGCCATCTGCACTGGCAGTGCCCGTGGCTGCTGTGTGTGTCCCAGCAGGGCTGAGGGGCTGTGCTCTGTGGGGCTGTGCTCTGTACAGTCAGGGCTGAGGGGCTGTGCTCTGTATGGGCTGTGCTCTGTAAGGCTGTGCTCTGTACAGTCAGTGCTGATGGGCTGTGCTCTGTATGGGCTGTGCTCTGTACAGTCAGTGCTGATGGGCTGTGCTCTGTAAGGCTGTGCTCTGTACAGTCAGAGCTGATGGGCTGTGCTCTGTATGGGCTGTGCTCTGTAAGGCTGTGCTCTGTACAGTCAGTGCTGATGGGCTGTGCTCTGTATGGGCTGTGCTCTGTCAGGCTGTGCTCTGTACAGCCAGGGCTGATGTTGCTGTGCTCTGTACTGTCAGGGCTGACGTTGCTGTGCTCTGTAAGGGCTGTGCTGATGTTGCTGTGCTCTGTGCTGTCAGGGCTGATGTTGCTGTGCTCTGTACAGCCAGGGCTGACATTGCTGTGCTCTGTAAGGGCTGTGCTGATGTTGCTGTGCTCTGTAAGGGCTGTGCTGATGGGCTGTGCTCTGTGCTGTCAGGGCTGATGTTGCTGTGCTCGGTACTGTCAGGGCTGATGTTGCTGTGCTGTGCAGCCAGGGCTGACGTTGCTGTGCTCTGTAAGGGCTGTGCTGATGTTGCTGTGCTCGGTACTGTCAGGGCTGACGTTGCTGTGCCCTGCCTTTGCCAGGTTACCCCACGTACAAGGAGAAGGTGAAGAAGCGGCCGGGCGGGCGGCCGGAGGTGATCTACAACTACGTGCAGAGGCCGTTCATCCGCATGTCCTGGGAGAAGGAGGAGGGCAAGAGCCGGCACGTCGACTTCCAGTGCGTGAAGAGCAAATCCATCACCAACCTGGCGGCGGCAGCAGCGGACATCCCGCAGGACCAGCTGGTGGTGATGCACCCCACGCCGCAGGTGGACGAGCTGGACATCCTGCCCATGCACCCGGCGCCCGGCAGCAGCGAGCCCGAGCCCGAGGGCCCGAACCCGCCGCTGTGAGCGCCGCCCCGCACGCATGCTGCACGGCGACCGCACCCGGCCCCTCCCGCACCGCAACGCCAGCTTCCCATCGTGTCCCGTGTGCAGGGTGCCGCGGCGGGGCCCGGCACGGCCCCGGGGATGCCCCGCGGCTCGGGAGCGGCGCGGCCGGCGCGTTCGTGTCTGTGTTTACCGTGGGTTTGTGACGTCGGTGACCCCGAGCTGGCCTGGCCCCGCTCCGCGGCCCCGCCGTGGCTCGGCCTTAGCAGGCAGAGTGGGAATTGATAGTAGCACTTTACAAATGGTTGAGAAGTGGAATTTGAAGCCATTTTTTATAAATGTATTGCACAATACTAACAAAGTGCTTCTATCAAAGGTATTAACTGTACATAGTTTTGCTCCGAATAGATTGACCCTTTTGAAGTTATTGTGTATGGTTGAGCACAAAACTACTTACTCTTGGGTTTTTGGATTGAGGACGTGATTCAATGACCCATGTAACATCTTGTTCGAGTTCTTTAGTGAATTTTTTCACTTGTTTGCAGCGTGAGCCATGTTCAAAAATTGTGAACAACGGACAGGGGCTTTATCTTAAATTTTGCCTTACCTTAAGCTGTTCACAAATATTTATTTAATACATTTTTCATAAGTGTCATGAAATAGGAAAATGCAAATGGTTCGTTCTTCATTTATTAATGATTGTAAACAAGTTTTTCATGCAAATAAAGTTTCCATTATTTTAATGGGCTTGAATTATCTGTGAATTATGAATTTTGCAAGCAGTTGCTTTTCTTTCCTCGGGGGAAGGATGTTTAAGCGAAAAACAAGTGTTTCTTAAAGATAATCAGCCCATTTCAACACAGCTGCCTGTTGTGCTTTTCTCAGGATCAACGTGGATCTAGGAGTAAGTAACAATAGCTGCTCTGGGAATATTGTAATGACAAAGGCATGTAAGTGTAGGTAAGGCACTGGCTTTCCTCCCTCTTCTCCCAAGGCTAAAGAAATGATAAATACCAAGTGCTTCTAGCATGCACCTTCAGCAGGGTTTTATCAAATTTATTTATCAAAGTAAATGCTCCATCTTAGAACAAGGGAAACATTTATTTTAAAAATATTTAACTGTCTAATACATTACACTTTAACAATATTTATAGTAAAGGATTCTTACAAGAAAGAATAAACGGCTTTATGGTACAATTAGTATAAGAAATATCCACATGGGGACCGTTTTGCAGTGTAAAAACACACCATACATCTGAAATGGTCATTTGCATATAAAAGCTACCACTGATGCCAGTGAGTCGCACAGTGATTTAAAAAAAATTTCAAACAACAGAATCCAAAATATACAAGTATTGCAAGCTATACACAGCTAACCAAATCAACACAGAACACTGTAGCAGGTTATTCCACTTTGTCTGAAGTTACACATGGTAGGATGAGTCGCATTCTGACGCAGCTTTTATGAAGTTCCCACATAAAAGCCTCTCAGTCCCACGGGTTCCGCGGAGCCCCGGCAGTAAATGCACTTGGCTGCCGGCTCCTCACAGGGGCCAGGGCAGGTCGCTGAAGTCCACGGGGCCGCCGAGCCCCGCGTCGGCCTCCAGCAGGCTCATGATGACCGCCATGGCCGCCTCGTCGTTGCTGGGGCTGCTGGAGCCCTGCTCCGTGTCGATCATGTCCATGCCGATGTGGGAGTTCTCCCCTGCAGGGACACAGCATGGCAGCGCCTCAGGGGCGGCTCCTCTGCCTGCTCTGCTGCTCTGGGGCTGCTCCCCTGCCTGCACTGCTGCTCTGGGGCTGCTCCCCTGCCTGCACTGCTGCTCTGGGCACAGCCGGGGCCTTGGGGCTGCTCTGCTCCCCTGCCTGCACTGCTGCTCTGGGGCACAGCCAGAGTTTTGGGGCTGCTCCCCTGCCTGCACTGCTGCTCAGGGGCTGCTCCCCTGCCTGCTCTGCTGCTCTGGGCACAGCCGGGGCCTTGGGGCTGCTCCCCTGCCTGCACTGCTGCTCTGGGGCTGCTCCCCTGCCTGCACTGCTGCTCTGGGCACAGCCAGGGCCCTGGGGCTGCTCCTCTGCCTGCACTGCTGCTCTGGGGCACAGCCAGAGCTTTGGGGCTGCTCCCCTGCCTGCACTGCTGCTCTGGACACAGCTGGGGCCTTGGGGCTGCTCCCCTGCCAGCTCTGGGCACAGCCGTGGCCTTGGGGCTGCACTGCTGCTCTGGGCACAGCCAGAGCTTTGGGGCTGCTCCCCTGCCTGCACTGCTGCTCTGGGCACAGCCAGGGCCCTGGGGACACCCCTGGTCGCTGGGTCACTCCCCAGCCAGGGCCACCACGGCTCAGGGACAGCCTGAGTGCAGAGGGCACACACAGCACTGCAGCAGCATCTGAAATACTTCCCACTGACCCAGGGAAAGAGCCTTCCCAGCGCTGCCCAAGGACATTCCATGAAGGAACTTTACAGAACAGGCTGCCCCGAGCCTCCTGGGGCACAGAGTACTCGGCTGTGGGCTTTGTGCCTCAGCTGGTAAAAGCAAGTCACTGCTAAAGGCAACCAGTGTGCAAGTGTGTTCAGCTGGCACTGGGGGTGCTCATGTGTGACTCCACTTACCCAGGATAGAGGAGTTGTCGGAATATGGGTAGCCAGAATTATCCTGGATTTGCCCAGACAGCAGCCCAGCTGAAGAAATGTCTGGAGTGCCACCGTTCAAGATCTTGAAAGACAAAACACAAGCTCTAAAGCAGCATGAAATGGAGCATTAAGTCTTAAACAGCGATTTAAAGTGATTTTAAAAAAAAATTCAAACAACAGAATCCAAAATATACAAGTATTACAAGCTATATGCAGCTAACCAAATCAAGTTGTCCTATACTGGAATTTTTAATATAGGGTAGATGGACTTCCCAAAATAACCCTGTGGTTTAAAACAAACGATCTTCTAAACAAGGAGAAATATCAAGGGGGTGCTGAAAACACCCAGCCCTCCACCTGCATTTTCCTTTATGCCATGCCAGCAGCCCCTGTTCTGTGGGCATGTTGAATACTGTAGGGCACAAGAAGAAAGAATAACTATTACCAGAATTGTAACACTGTTCCAACCTGGAGTTTTACATCAAGAACAAAGAGAGCTGGGAATAGACAGAAATATTTACTGTCTGTTCCAGTACAAGCAATTCTTACAAGCAAGTCATCATTTCTGAGAAAAAAAGGTTAAGTAAGTCTGAAGTGGAGCATAAGGATCTGGCTATGCTTTGGATAAAACTTCCATAAGCATTTAGAGATTGCTTGAGTAGCACTCAGGTGCCATTACCAGCACTGAGCCACCTGAACTCTTGTCCTGGCTGCTTCCAGCAATCTCAGAGCAAGGCAGGTGCACGGTGTTGACTTACAAATAACCTGAGTGCCCAGGCAAGCACTGAGCTGTGGTTTGTGCTCAGGGCTTTCAGGGCCAGCACTGCCAGCCTCCACCAGCACGGGGTGTCAGAGAGTTTCTGAGGGCTGCAGATGAGCAGAGCTGTTCCTTACATCAACCTGAGGGGCAGGGGAGTGTCGAACACTGCTGGAGTTTGGGACGTGCTGCTGGCTGCCTCAGAACAGGGGCTGGGACCCCTCAGTCTGGGGCTGGGCCCCTTTGCAGCCCAGCAGCAGGAGCTGCTCCCTGAGCACAGCTCCCTGAGCACAGCTCCCTGCTGGTTCTTTCCTCCTGCCCTCCTCACTCTTACCTCCTGCCCTCCTCACTCCTTCCTCCTTCCCTCCTCACTCTTTCCTCTTCCCTCCTCACTCTTACCTTCTTCCCTCCTGGCGAGGACGTGTCGGGCGGGGGCGTGCTGGTGATGTTCAGGGGACTTGAGCCACAGCTGGAAGGGGATGATCCTCTTATCCTAAAACATCCACAAAACAGGGCATGCACTTACAAGCTACTCAGAGACTTGGAGTTTTAAATACTGACTTCAGTACCAGGTGCTATAAGGTGCTAAAAGCTTGAGTTGCATTTTTGTCATCTCCCTTTTTGTGTTCCTCACGCCAGCAGGAGCAGCAATGCTGTTATTTGCAGCCAGACCAACAGTCCTGTGTAAATCCAGCCTGCCTGATCTGCAAGCTTTACCTCCTGCCTGTTTTGTTAACAAAGTCAGAAGGAAAAGGTCCTGGCTGCTAAGGAAAGCCTCACCTTTGAGTATTTTACTTCAGTTTCCAGCAGCTAAGAGCTCCAGCTGCCTCAGTCCCAGTAACCCAGACTCCTCCAGTGAGCTCCTGCTCCAGAAGCCCATTGGACACCGGATTGTTTGTAACTGCTCAAAGCCACATCGTTCACTCCCATTTTCCACAGCCTGATCAAACATCATTAATAATGAATAATGTATTGACTGCAGCACCAACAAATCTCCAGACTAAAGGGAGGAGGGGCAGTTACAGAGAAAAGCAATGGAAATGGGATTCTTCTCCTTGGCAGAGTTCCCCTGGGAAAGCTGAACAGAAGGCAGCTTTGGAAAATAGTAACAGCTGCTGAAAAAGGACTGGAACTAACCCAGGGTCCGAGCTGAAATGCAAACATGGGTGGTAACTGCACTACTACACTCACTTGGGCTAATTAAATGTTTTACAGCTACTAAAAGGGATGGTTAAGCTTCAAAGTAATGATTCAGCCATGTTTTCCTTCTTTTCCTATTCCTACAGAGAGGAATGCAGCCTTAGGGAGAGGCCTGCAGCTGCCTGAGGTGAGCACAGAGGGAGTTCTGCCTGCAGCAGGAACAAAACAGACTGAATGTGTGCCTGGACTGCAGCTGAGCCTGCTTACATTGCTACCACTGAACACCTGCTGGGTGAGACCCCTTTTATAGGAAGGGAAACAGCTCCCAAGAGGAAATCAGTGAGGAACAGGGAATTTTAGCCAACAGAAATGAAGTGGTACCCCCTGAAAGCAGCTGCTCACACAGGTGAGAACACCAGAGGCAGCTGTGGATCCCCAGAGCCCCTCAGTGACCCTGGGCTTGACCGACTGCCATGGGAGGGCCCCAGCACTGTGTCCCTGCCCCAAGGGCTGCAGGGGAACTGCAAAGCTCACCATGCACATCTGACAGCCCCAAAAGCATCTGAGCAAATGGACTGCACAAAACAAACACTGCTGTTCTGGCACGCAGTCAACAGCTTTGGCATTTGGAGGTTGTGCCACTCACAGCCCCAAGTCACTGGGAAAAGAGCAGTCTGGAATGGATTTGTTTCCAGGTAGCTGCTCTTTTTATCTCCTGTTTCTGGTGAACAGGCCATCCTCACCACCACTGCAAAGAAATGCCAGTAGTGCAATCAGAAATCAGTCTCTTGCAGCAGGGAGCTGAAGGCTGTAACTTTGTGCTTTCCCTGTGGGCTGACTGCCTCAGGGAGGCTGAACAGGAATCTGTAGTGTCTCAGTAAGGTTGGATCATTCCTTATGCACCTTGAATCAATTGTTCTTTCAGAGGAAATTAGGGAAGTCTAACTCCTCCTAAAGAACAGGAATAAAACAATTCAACCCCACACCATTTTCTCTCACCTGTGAATCTCCATGATTTCTTCAGCAATCATCCTCCCTATTTTACCTGCCCCAGCTCTTGTTCCACCTGGAATTCCAGGCACAGTGGGATGGGTCCTTTTGGGGCCACCTGAAATGAGCAGAAATGTTAAGGTCAGAGAAAAACTGGCAAACTTTCTCCACAGGGCAGCTGTGCTTAGGCTTTGAGTGGCTGCAGGACCTTCTGAACAGGATTTATTGACAGTTCCACCAACTGCTGAGTGCCTCCAAATGGACGAAAAGCTCTGGCTTGCACTGAGCTGTGCTGGGTCTCAGCTGTCCTTGTGCCAGCAGGGACAGGACAGACCTCAACTCTTTCAGAATCTGGCCGTTCCCTTTCAGAATTGAGCATCTGGTGCTACCTCTCACCCAGAGCTGGTACAGCATGGCCTTGTCAGACCCTGTGCCCAAACAGGCCCTGCTCCAAACATGTTTGCTCTCTGCTTTGTGTGGAGAACTTGCCAGGGCATACTCCACTCTGTATGAGCTAAACCCAAGGGAGCTGATGGCTGCAGGTAACTGCAGGAATGTAAAAGTGAAGGGAAAAGGGAGGTGTGAGCAGTTAGGAGCTGTTCTGTAATGTGATTTCACACTTGCACAGCACTCGGGAGGCTGGAAAGAACACCTCCACCTGCAAAGAGCCTGAAACACTCCAAGCAGAGCAAAGCCCCCACTGAGAGGGCAGGGAAGGCCTCAGCATTGCTCGCCCAGAATGGATAATGCAGATTTACCAACAGCCGCCCTCAGCAGGCGCGGCTCAGACCCAAAGCTAAACCCCATTTTCCCAAGGACAGGAACAAATCTCAGAGCGGAAGGGCAGCAGACGCGTGCAGGAGGCTGAGCTGTGCCCAGGCAGGCACGGCTGGGGCTGGGTTACCTTCTCCAGCCTGCAGCACGCTGTCCATGCTGTGTGGGGACGCCGCCAGCTGCGGGAACGCCGCGTCCCCGCTCTCCAGGCCCGCGGTGCTGCGGAGGGCAAGCGTGACAAAGTCAGGCACAGGAAACCCTGCAGAGGCACAAAACCCTCCCAGGATTGCAGCCCAGCGCTGCAGCATGGGCTGCTTCAGGGTTTCGGCAGCGTCACCCCTGAGGCTGACACCAGGGATGGACACACAGCAGGGATCGACCTCCCTGCTCCACCTCCACGTGTGCGGTGCCAGACCCCAACAGCCCCTCTCAGCACAGAGCTCCTCTGCAGGAATTATTCTGCTGAGAAGTCACCCCAAGAGAAAGGAAAAAGGGGGGGAAATACCTGCCAAAGCAAAGAAGTGCATGCCCTTAAGTTCCTACAAAGACCAAATCCCAGCTTTTCCCAAAGAAAGAACGTATTTCTGTTTTCTGCAGCTTTAATGACCAGAAATTAAATTACTGCAATATTTAAACTAAACCTGGGGTTGTTTTAACTCCCTGGGGTGTTGTCTGGAGGAGACAGCTATTGCCATACAGAAGGTGTGCACAGATTTAGGTCAAACCTCACATGAGAAAAGGGCAAAGCAATGGGCACTCCCAGGCACCTGCTGGGGGAAAAGCACTTACGAAACCACTGTGTTTGTGGAGACAATGTATTCTACTTCTTTGGTCCAAGGGTTCATGAAACTGAACCAGCGACTCCGCAACGTAATAAAAGAGCCATCTTTTATTTTAAACTTGTAGCAGTTAGTTGTGATTTTTTCTCTTGTCTGCAAAACTGAAGACAGGCAGAAAGCAAGTCATTAGTGTCAAGCAGGCACCACAACATAAACAGAGCCCTTCTCAGGGAAAACCCAGTTAATTCCTCCCCACATCCCTCAGGAAAAATTCTATTCCTCCCTCACCCATCCTGAACCTCAAATATTCCCAACAAATCCATGCCAGTCTGAGGCAATCACAGCACAATGCTCCTCACTAAAGCACTTGCAAACAGCAATACCCAAATCTTCTCAAGTGTTTGGTTTCCTTAACACACAACAACTGGTGCCAATATTTTGAAGAAAACATCTTTCCTGAATTATTAAGAGCCATACCTTGTCTGTGACATTCTGCAAGATGTGCTATATCATCTTGATGGAAATATTCATAACACGAAGTACCTAGAAGCTCCTGGGGTAGGTATGCCAGGATGGCTGTTGCCCTGGGGAAGGGAGGGAGAGGAAGAAAATAAAAAAAAAAAAAAAATCTTTTCAATTTGAAGCATTAGTCAGAGGTTCCTAAAGCTCACACTGAGGCTGGGAAAGGCTCAAGTAATGTGGAAAGGAATTTTCGGCTTAGAAGGTAAAAAAAAATTCCTTAAGAACACTATTTTTAATTCTCAGGTAATTAAAAAAGTACCTAACACCCAGAGCCCTGAGGTATTACATTTGACCTACCATCACCAGCTTTCTATATAGCTTTGAAGATTTGCTGTAATTTTGGGAATTTAAGCCTGAAAAAAGCTGCCTTGTAGCAGCCACGAGATAACACAAAGCTTTCTGCACAAAGAGCTCCTCAAAGGTGTGGAGAACTCAAGGGTGGCACAGAACAACACCACACCAAACTTGACTTGCATTTTGTACATTTCTTACAGGAAAATTCTTAGAAGAATTTTCTTAGGAAAAAAAAATCTGCGTTTCTTCGGAGAAAATTACTGAGGGAGAAGTGAAGGTTCCTTGCAGAAGCTGAAACAAGTGCCACAATTCCAAACCATTCCAATTCAAATTAAACATGAAGGGCAAAAAGGAACAAACCCAGGTAGATTAACATCTCGTCTGCAATCTCAAAAAAGCCCAAATTAAGCGATATAAAATGCAGAAATTAGTACATATTAACAATTATGAATAAGAACAGAGGGGGGAAAGAAGCTGAAGCACCAAACCCACAGTATTTCAATGTGGGGCATTTTTGTCCATTCCCAAACACAAGAGATTTCAGCACAGGTTGAGGACACCTCAAGCCCTCCTTGACAGGGAGACAACGCCCTCAGGCTTGGAGAAGGAAACAGGAATTCAAAGTGGCTTCAGCAGGGTGAGCCTTGTGCCAGGCCACTTGGAACTCCAAGGAAACCCATCAAAGCCATCTCCAAGAGAACCACAAAGCAGCAAAACCAAGCCATGGAAGAGCTGGGAACCCAGTCAAGCTCAATCCAGTGTATTTCCAAGAACTTTAGTAACCAAGGCTTTCACAGCCCTGCTGTGGTGGGACACCCCACACAGAGGGGGAATCTGTCAAACCTTTTCCTTTCACAGCAGGTGCTGTGGAAAGGAGAATCTGCACCAAATTCCAGCCACCAACAGACTGGGTGCATTCAATATCTGACCATGCTCTGCCATGCAAGGAAGGAAATTGTTTGTGTCCTTCTGGAATTTCAGCCTGTATTTACTTTTCTCCTCAGCTCGCTTCTCCCACTTAACAAGGCAGCTCTGAGTCCTGAAGCTGTATCTGACGACATCGGCATAGGTAATAAACTTAATTTTACTCTCAAATTCAGCCTGCAGACCCATCAGAAGTCCTGAATAAGAAACTCTGCTCAGTGTAGCTGCCATTGCACAGAGAATTGTGGAGCAGCTGAGGCAGCCCAGCTCATTGGAACCCGATCCATTGCTGTGCTTCCCCAGGGACCATGAAATCCATGAGGACACAAAAGGTCACAGGGAGTTTAGGAAGTGTTTCTTTCCCGAGTTCCTGGGGCAGATGATAAATGAACAGTGCAAGTCTATATGAACAAAACAACCCGACTTGGAAAGAAATTGTTTTCAACTTTTACAGGCGCCTAAATATTCTCCAGGAAAAGCAAGGATCATTGGATGTCAGCTTCAGGCCTACACCTGAGGCTTTCATCTACATAAATTCCCTTTCAAAGAGTTCTTTGAAGTAGCACAGACATCCCAAGGACTGTAAACAACAGCTGGAAAGCAATTCAATAAAAGCATATGTGCTTAAATCCAATGGATCAATATTTTCTGAGTCTCATTATTTTAAAAATGCCTTCAAACTACACATCAGGGGAATAAGCCTGATCTTTTGAAAATAAAACTGGTCTATAAACAAGACAGAATGGCATTTTCTGAGCAACAGAAAGCTCTGAATGCTCCCACAGCTCCCAGAGTGAGCACCAGCTCTCAGCACTCAGGAGTTGGTATTTTCACAAAAAAACCCAAACCATCCAACCTAACCAAAACCCACAAACCCAACCACTAAAAAACAGATAAGTAATATTAAAAATAAATATTCTCTTCACTTGAATCCTTCCCGTGACTATCCCCTGCTTCCTCTCCAAGGGCACTAAAGATCAGCTGGGTCTGCCTGAACCCAGTTCCAGCAGGAAGGTTCTGTCAGAGTTTGGAGTTTGGGCTTTTCTGTGTCTCAGGCAGCTGAGCCAAAGCCACAGGGAAACTGGAGCAGCCTCATGTGGGCATCTCAGTCCCTCTTGACCAGGAAGGGAACCAAGCAAGCCCTCTCCAACCAGCCCAGCACAACCTCTCCATCAACATCCTTCAACCTCCTACTTTTCCCTCCACCATCCAGTGATTTTCAAGAAGATTCAGGTCATATGTACCTGCTAGCGAAGAAAATTCAATCAATCCCTTTCTTTTGGAAAAGGAAAGAATTACCCTTTTAGACAATAAATTGATGTTTGAAAGCAGATACCACACGGGCACAACCATTTCCAGGAGATAACCCTTATGAAAAGCTTTCCTTTCTACAAACACAAAGGGTCCCAGAGAGAAGCATTAATCCAGCAGAATGTGTCCTAGTAAACAGTTATGTAAGAGTACATGCTAGCAAAGCCTAACCCAGCTCTGCAGCCTCTCAACTGCCTGCTGTTTGCAAGAGGTTTCATGTAACAGAGGGAGCAATTAGGGTCCAGTTTCAAAACATTTTCTTCTGAAGATTACACACACACATAATACATACTCCCCTAATGAATTGGCAGAAAAGATCCTGGCCTTATTCTGGCACGTTTTTGGAAGTTTGGGGGATTTAAAAAAAAAAAAATTTCATCAGCCCCACTGAATTAATGCATAGTAACACTCTGAGCTCCACCTCAAAGCCAACTCAGTAAAAAAGCTCAAAAGGGCAGCAATTCCTTTTCCCAATGGCATTCATGTGAAATACAAAGCTGTGTTTCGTGTCAGCTACATACAGGCAATGTGTGTATTTGTGATTGTGATATGTGTGGAGACCGACCATGGGACGGTTATAAAGACAAATTCTGATAATAACTGAGGAAAGTAAAGCATGGAAGAAGGCCTTTGAACCTATCTATCTTTTGTTCACAATTAACCTTGGTTGATTTAGGAGCATCTGAATTAAAGTGTTAAGGATGTTGCTCTTTGCTTGTAGTTAAGCCTTAAAGAGTTCTGCAGTAATAACCTTTTGAAGTATAATTTTAGAATATTGCTTGTATCCTTGAAACTATAGCTTTGGAATATATATAAAGGAAACATGCTTATCTCAGGCCTTAACAAAACAGAGAAAAGCAGCTTGAGAAAGGAAGATGAACATCAATCAAGGATTAATAGTTTCGACCAAGGGAAGCTGGACATCACTGTTATGAGATTTATAGTCCTTGCAATTGAAGGGTTTGACCCACATCTGGGGAGCTGGACCCCACCAGATGGGATTCATCTTTCTTCTTTTGGAAGCCAACCACCACCATCTGGGGATACTCCTTTTGGGATACATCCTGGGAAAAACTAAATCACAATAGTGTACAGAATTGTGATGTAAAAATTGGGAATAGAAACTGCTGAGAAAGCTGATGGGTACCCCTATAAATACCTGTAAGCCTCAACTATGGGTGCGCGGTTGGAGGGAAAACTTGAAAACTTCCCCCACTGTACCCAGAGCTGTTTGCTCATACTTTAATATATTAATTGATAAACTGATTGCTGTTTGAATATTGGCCTAGTCATGCTTCTTATTTACACCAATAGCAACAGCTCTGAGCTGCACCCCAAAGCCAACCCAGTAGATAAAGCTCCAAAGGGCAGCAATCCTTTTGCCAGTGGCACTGACATGGTGCTGCAGGGCAGTGCAGTGCACAGTGCTGGCAGCTGCTCGGGGCTCTGGCACTGACACGGCGCTGCAGGGCAGCTGTGGCAGAGGCAGTGCTGGGCACTGGGCAGTGCTGGGCTCTGGCACTGACACGGTGCTGCAGGGCAGTGCAGTGCACAGTGCTGGCAGCTGCTCGGGGCTCTGGCATTGACACGGTGCTGCAGGGCAGCTGCGGCAGAGGCAGTGCCGGGCTCTGGGCTGGGCTCTGGCTCTGGCACTGACACGGCGCTGCAGGGCACGCTGAGGCAGAGGCAGTGCCGGGCTCTGGGCTGGGCTCTGGGCAGTGCTGGGCTCTGGCACTGACACGGTGCTGCAGGGCAGCTGTGGCAGAGGCAGTGCTGGGCACTGGGCAGTGCTGGGCTCTGGGCTGGGCTCTGGCACTGACACGGCGCTGCAGGGCAGCTGTGGCAGAGGCAGGGCCGGGCTCTGGGCAGTGCTGGGCTCTGGCACTGACACGGTGCTGCAGGGCACGCTGTGGCAGAGGCAGTGCCGGGCTCTGGGCTGGGCTCTGGGCAGTGCTGGGCTCTGGCACTGACACGGTGCTGCAGGGCACGCTGTGGCAGAGGCAGTGCCGGGCTCTGGGCTGGGCTCTGGGCAGTGCTGGGCTCTGGCACTGACACGGTGCTGCAGGGCAGCTGTGGCAGAGGCAGGGCCGGGCTCTGGGCTGGGCTCTGGCTCTGGCACTGACACGGTGCTGCAGGGCAGCTGTGGCAGAGGCAGTGCCGGGCTCTGGGCTGGGCTGGCAGCTGCTCCGGGGGGCTCTCACCTCTGATCTACAAAGACGAACTTGCCGTCGATGGCGTGCCGGGACACGTACTCGGTGGGCTTCACCCGGATCTCGCCGTTCGCCGGCTGCGGCACCACGTGGGGATGGAGCCTCCCGATGGCCACAAGGCAGCTCAGGTTGCAGCCCTCGTTATCGGGCTCGTTATCTTCGTCCAGGCCCATCTTTGTGGGAGGCCAGCTTTTTAAGTAGCCTGTGCTATGAATAGTGCAAAAGCTTTTGCGGTCTGCTGTGAAAAGAAAAGAAAACAAAACAAAAAGCAAACAAACAAACAAAAAAAAAAAACAACAAACCAACAAAACCCAAGAAAGCAGTTAGGTCGTGGGTACAGCTCTGGAGAACTTCAACTCAATTCTGCTAATAATGCACCTCCTCTGTCATGCAGGAAATTTGGGATACTCTTCGCTAAGGAGGGGCTGGGGTGTTCAGCCTGGAGCAAAGGAGGCTCAGGGGTGACTTTGGGAGTCTTTATCAGCCAGATAAAGTTAGAGACTTTACCGGTGATAAAATCACTTGAGAGTGACCTTATCCCTCTCTAGAACAGCCTGACAGGAGGGTGCAGCCAGGTGGGGATCGGCCTCTCCTCCCAGGCAGCTGTGACAGGATGAGAGGACAGGGCCTCAAGCTGCATCAGGGCAGGGTCAGGGTGGACATCAGCAGGAATTGCTCCACAGAAAGGATTGTCCAGCACTGCCCAGGGAGGTGGTGGAGTCCCCATCCCTGAGGTGTCCCAGAGCACTCAGAGCCACGCTCTGGCTGACAGGGGGATGTTTGCTCAGAGGCTGGGACTCAATCATCTTGGAAACCTTTTCCAGCCTTAATGGCTCTGTGATTCCAAGGGATTTTTCAGCACTCCTGCTGTAATGCAGCTAATCTGAGATAATCCAATAAACAATTTATCCTGGAAAAACCACTGTTTATGCTGAAACATCACATAGTTCAGACCAAGGTTGCTTTTGGTAATTTTGAGCAGAAATTGCATCACATTTTATTATTTCAGCAGAAGAGGCAAATAACCCAAAGGAATGTGTGAAGAAATTAGGAGTTTAATAAATAAGATGCCTCTTTCATCTTAACCTGAGGGTCCTACAAAACCCATGTTTGGCAGAACATACTCTCTCTGGGGTACATGGGGCACACAGGGGTGATGAAGGTTTGCAATGGCCAGTAAAAGTCTGCATCCAAAAGAATTCCCATTCCTCAGCACTGAGCAGGCCTGAAAACTCCAAGGAAGATGACTTTCATAGGTGGAGTAAAAGGCTTATGCCAACCACTCAAACTGGCTCCCTCAGCAGAGAGCACAAAAGCAGCATCCAAGGTTGAGCCTGAACCTCACAGGGAGTTGGGGCAGCTGCCACAGCCAAAGATGCACCAAAATTGCCTCTGTTCTCTTGCTGTTTGTCTTTTCACTTTAACTAAACCAAATGGATCATTCACAGTACTCAAAGAAGAAACTTTCACATTTGGGCTAAATATATATCCCAACATGCCTAGAATAATAGCCTGCAGAGGAGAAAATATTACCAACACTGCTAAGGCCACAAGGTGTAGAAACGCCACGTTCCCAGTACTCAGAATGTACCACACCCACAGATGAACTCAGAATTACACTCATTTTTTGAGGTGGATGTCCATCCACACATCCCTGGGCAGAGAACAAGGAACAGCTCCCCTTTACTGGAGACACTGGCCAGGTGGTCAAGGGTGAACGTGATCTGACCAATGTCTGAAGACGATGCAATAACCCCCCAGAGCTGCTGGCACACGCTGCCTGAAAAAGTTTCAAGAAATCAGAGTGGAGAATTTGGCTCTAAATGCTACTACAGGTGTGTAAGAGATACTGGAGGGGGGCAAGAGGGAGGTTGAAGAGGTAACAGACCAAGACATAGCTCAGAATGTTAATAAGAAACATCGACAAACGTTAAAAATTCAACCACTGCGAACGAGCAGCATTAAAAAAAAATCCCGACAGCCTTGGCAACAAAAGCATGATGGTTACCTTTCTTCTTCGAGCAGGTTGAAGGGAAATCCTTGTCTTCTACCTTGACAGAGGGCCTGTTGCACTTCATCCTGCAGAAGAAGGAGCGCCGTGCCCCGGAGCAGAGGCGCGAGGGCCCGGGCGCGATGTCCGTCTTGACCGGGAGTCCGGCTGCGAGCGAGGGAGCAGGGTCAGAGGGAAGCACCCCAAACCCACCCCACAGGGCTTCACCCACTGGGCACTGCCCCTCCTGCTTCTGGGGCTTTGATGTGCGTGACTGTGCAGGACCCAGCTGGCCACACTGACACCTCGCGTTTTAGCTTTTTGTTTTTTCTTTATGCTTTTCCATTTTGTGCTGCTGTGGTGTGGGTTTCATGTAAGGGGTAGTAAGGTGTGAGTTTTCATATAAGGAGATAGTAAGGTGTAGGTTTTCATTTAAGGGGATAGTAAGGCGTAGGTTTTCATGTAAGGGGTAGTAAGGTGTGGGTCTGGGTTTCATATAAAGGGGTAGTAAGGTGTGGGTTTCATATAAGGGGTAGTGAGGTGTGGGTCTGGGTTTCACAGAGGGGGATAGTAAGCTCTCTTTGCAGAGTAGGCAGACACAACAATTCCTTCTCTAGCTGGGCACCCAAGGACAGCCAATCCCCACCTCAGGCCCAAGAGCATAAACAGCGTGGACTCAAGAGAGGAAAACCAAGAAGGATGGGAATGCATGGGCTGGTGCTGTGGTTGGACAATTAGCTCCAATATGCTAATGGACCAAAACTTGTAAAAATGTGAGCTCTTGTGACCAAGCCCTCCTTTGCTTCCATCTTAGAGCCATGTGAGTACTGCCAGGATATGGCCTTTGAAGGCTCTTCAATAAATATCCACTTTATTCCCAATAACTCTGTCTTGCCTCTGTTCCAGCTCCTTAAGGCATCAATACCAACACTGCAACTCCTGACTCTGCTTTCTGCTGTTAGAGCACTGAGGCTGGAGAACACGGGGTTCTGAGTGTAAACATCAGCAAGAGATTGGACAAATCCACACAAGTCCTGTGATAAACACTGCAATTTCTCTGAACTGGTTAAAAATAGAGAGATTACTCTTCCCCAGGCAGAGCAGAATTCCATACACAGCCACTGAGGAGGCTCCTGACCCTTCAGACTGGCACTTTTCTATCACAACACCCTCCCAGAAAAAGTGTGTGCATATGGAGCAGAAGAGTCCAAATGACACTCCAGGGAGAGATGGAGGAGAAAAGGTAGCAGGGACCCACACAGGAACTGCAAAAAATACAGTTGTTATTCAATTTTCTTGCAGTGGAAAATTCTGAGACCTTTTTTCTACTTGCAACTTTGTTGACTTGTTTGCCTGTGCTCTCTTTCTGCTTGGTAAAAACACCTTCTTGTTTGGGGTGGGCTTATCCTTTGCTTTAAGTCGTAAAACCCCTTCTAACTCACACACCCTTTGCCTCCTTGGTTATCCAGTAAGACTGGCTCAGCAATTCTTTTCTTCTACATCAAAACTTGCTTCCATCTCTATTCCTTCATCAGACTCTACACTTAAAAATCTTTCTGCCAAGCATCCATATCTGTGAGACTTCCTTGTCAAACTTTCATCTTTCTCAACATCTGAGAAGCCATGGAATGCTTCCATGGCATGCATCAGGAGCACAGGTACCACCAAGGGCTGTTGGAGGATTTAAATCACACAGCAGCTTTTCCACAGCCTGCCATCCACTCCACCCATGACTGCATGGTAAAATCAAGCAGCTGTCAACATGAACAAAAACTTCTCAGGCCTTGTGGGCCTTTAACATGAGGAGGAATCCCAGTAATTCCAGTATTTTAGTGGAAAATGTGCCTCCCTTACAATTCCACTGGAGTGAGGTGATCTCCAGGAGGTCAGGCTGCCCTGCACCACATGGCCTCCAAACTGCTGCACCGTGGTGTGAGTACAAGCTGTGCCGAGTTACTCATGCCAAGACAAAAATAAATACATGCATACATCCTCATACTCTTCACCAGTATGAGTTCTTGAAACTCTACCAATCCGTCTATCATAGCAGATGGGAAGACTGTAATTCATAGTATTTATTTTTGCCCTAACTTTGTCAGAGCCATACAAAAAAAAACCAACAAAAAACCAGGAGGCAGCACTGGATATTCATGCTTGACAACCGATGAAACCGGGAGCCAGAAAAAAACTTCAGCTGATTCTGCTGAAGCCTCCAGGCTCCCTGCCCTCGAATGATCTCTCCCAACTTCAGTTTCTGAAGTTGAGCTGGTGGCTTCTGTGAGCTGAGATCCAGGAGATTTCTGCTCCTGACAAGCATGAGACTTAATGGCCTGCAAATCTGCCGTTGTAAGATACCACCTTCCACTTCGGCAGTGCAGACTCCTGTTGTGAGAGGGAATTAAACACCCACTCACCCCAAGAGCAGCAGAGATTCAGAACTACTTGAAAATACCAGAATGGAACAGAGCTAAGAGACACGGCAGGAAATGATTCCAAAGTTAAAAACCTTCTGAGAGAAAGGCAGGGTCTTTGATGGCAGTAAGCAATAAATAAGTAGATAAATAAATTGAATCCTCTATCTTGGCTGACAGCTAAGGACTACCAAGATAATACTGAGTGTATTCTGACCATTTAGAATGATGGATTAGAAGAAATGCTGCATGTGTTCTAATGGAAAAAGTTAAAGGTTTGATGCCTGGAAGAGAGAGGACACCTCACAGGTGAAGCCAGTTCCAGTAATGCCCCTGTGCCACAGTGCAAACCCAACAGCTTCCAGGAACTTGTTTCACACTTTGTTTTTTCTTTTTTTGTTTCTTGCTGTCTTTAAGCTACAACTTCCTTGGCATGAGGCAATCCAGGCAGCATTCCCCCACATCCCCACTTGTGACACGAGGCAAAGCCCCAGCAGCAGTGGCTCTGGGTGACATTTTCCCCAAGCTGGGAACACTCACTTTTTGCATCTATAAGTCTTTCTCGTGGCGCGGTGTCAGAAGAAGAGAGCTGCTCCTTCACTTTGGCAATGTCTTTAGGATGGAGATAATCAAATAAACTTTGACCAATCAAATCATTCTGTAGAGATTGAACATTCAGTCAAAAAGTAAAATAATGGCTCAGTATGTTTTCTTCATTTTAGCATCCAGTATGAACAATCCTTTTACACATAGGTGTAACCAAGGAATACCAAACATCCAGATCCCCTCATTGCAGGGGGTTTGGACTGGATGACCTTTAAAGGGTCCCTTCCAAACAATTTTATTACTCTATGATTTGATGGAAGGTTTTCTCTGTGTATTGAAGTTATGACTACATTACACAGTAATTCCTGTCATCATTTTCAGTAAGAGTTTTGCAGAATTGGCATGCTCAATTCCCCCCCCACCAAATATTCTGGTTTCTATTAAGTCTTACTTCTTCTACCACACATTTGAATGAAAAAAAAAAAATCCTAATTGCAAATGTTCTCTTTCATTATTTACATATGAATTTAGTATACACCTAACTAAATGCTGGCTGAGGAAAACTTTTGAAGCAAATACAGGTTTAAATTTGATGAGGAGTGCAGATCACAGAAAGAATGAAGATTATTTACACAATACATGGACCAACTTAAGCCTTATGTTGAGCATATATTAAAAACCTGGCTTTGATATAACTGCTTTCCAGTTTCCATCAGTAAGCATGCAAGCAAAACCAGAACAGATAGAAAGAAAACTAAGCTGAAAAATCCATGTGATGCTACTGGAAAAACCCCAGACTGATGTTTCAATCTTTGCTTGCACTCCCAATTAGGTAATGCTTTTGCAAGCCTCAGGGTAAATCCTTGAGCAGAATGCCTCAATCAGTGAATTAAATTTAGTTCCTTTTCACCTCTTGCTTTGAATGGAAACCAGAAAATCTTCTCTAATGACATGGCAGAGAAAAGCTCTCTCTTTGCAGCACCTCTCAGCTTTCAAGACAGACTCTTCTCATCCCTACCCCCCAGATAAAGGCATAACCATCAAAAACCTCTCACATCTTTTAAGCCCTAATGTACTTAAAATGGAAAGGAATACCTGACTGTAGTTGAGGATCTTGAAGACAGATTCTGAAACAAACAGTATCTTTCCTCTGTCACAGCCCACCACAAAAAGGAATCCATCTGCTGCCTAATTGGGGGGGAAAGTGAAATCCCAAGTTATACATCCACATTGCATTGCTATAACCTTTAAAAGCACTTTGTGTACAGCAGAAATTCTACACTAGGAGAGCTGTCTTAACATTTAGAGGTAACTGAGTCAACAGGAAAAAATGTGAATTACAATGAAGGGTTTTTTGCATCTGCAAACATTTTTTTGGCACGATTCTGGGCATTGTGCCCAGAATGTAAAATAACTTTTAGGAGAAGAAAGAACCCATGTCTTGCCCAATAATATTAGGATTATGTTTAATAGTGCCTTAAAATTAAAATGTTATTTTAACTGTACTTAAAAAAGCTCCTCTTTTAGAAACCAACTATAACCTGGATGTTTATTTCTGTGCCTGGAGGCAAGTCATTCCTATTTGCAAAGTACTGTCTTTTAGTCACACACAAGCATGCAGGAATAGGCCCCAATTATGTATCTTCAGAGTCACAATGCTGCAGAAATTAAATTCTACATATACTGCACCTGGACACTGCAGTGCTTCAACAATTACACAGCCACTAGATAAGCTGAACTACTGACTACTGAGAGAAGAGAGAAGCTCCCCACACTATAAAAGCAGTGTAACAGCAGGCAGCCAGACACACCAAGTCCTGTTACATCAGTAACCTCAATAAAAAGGTGTTCATTGAATCACTGTACGCTGAAAATCATGGCAAGGTAACCCAGGGCAGCAAGTCTGCAAGAAAACTATTCATGTGGTTTGTACATGTAAATAACTGAATATTCCAATGGCTCCCATCTAAATCCCCCTCTTCAACCTTCCTGCTTAAATTAAGAAATGCTAGTCATCATTAAACTCACTGACTCTGTGAAGTAGGCTCCAGATTTCTTAATTATCCTCCATAATCAAAACATTTTTAAGCTGACAGACAAGGCAGAAAAATACTGGCGGTGGGCTTTGGGAGAGCTACAGTCACAGATATTAATATCTCTTAATTAAAAGTTGGAACATACCCTGAGAATAAGGTGTTTTAATTCATCATCTGATAGAAAAGCAGGCTTGTAGTTTGCTTCTGTATATGGGTTTGTAGCACCTAAAGAAAACAAACAAACAATTCCCACATCACCAACATTACACACTTAAATGAGCAATCTTCCTTTGGCTCCTTCTTAGGCTGCTGCTCATTGCAGGAGTTCTTCAAAATGAATTTTTTTTTGGTTTTACTATCACCATGAGCTCTGTTGGTATTAACTTAAAAAAGGGTGAAGCTTTTTTTGCTAAGACACAAGTGCTGCATTAGAAATGCAAATTAAATGCCTCTGAGATATAAAAGTATTCCTTGACATATTTTTGAACCCAAAGGCTGTCCTTGATTTATGGCCTGGTCTCAGAATTAGAAATTATAACAATAAGATACCATAGAATAAAAACATTCAAACTATTTCTTCTCCTTATAACTCAGTAAAACATGACAAGGTTATGTAAACAAATCATGACTGAGGAATTTACACATCAATTCTCTCATTCCAAGCTAAAGATAAAACCCAGCATTACAATGACATCATCTTACAATGCCAAAACCCCAAAACTGGCAACAAACGAGGCAGCTATTTATTAAGGAGTAATTCTTCTCATTCTGTTCTCTTCATAAAGGCAGAGGAGAGTCAAATTAGTAACCACTGAAGTGTTATAAACTATTAACCTCATCAAATGGCAGTGGCAGGAGAGTTAAGCCTTCCAAAACTGTGAGGCTAGATATGACTGAAGGCACCAGCTCTCCTAGAAATACAACAATCACCAGGATCTTTTTTACCATTAGCTGCATCCCTTTTTTCTTCTCACTAATGCATTTCTTGAAGGCTTAAAGCTTTTAACATCACCACCAATTGTACTGATTCAGTCACGTGAAGCTTTAGGAACACACAGCGATTTCTCACAACCTCAACTCTTCCAAACCTGTGTGTTCCCTTCAAGTGCTTGCAACAGAAACTGGTCAAAAAGACCAAAATTAAGTTTTCAAAGTACTCCCTATTTTTTCACACAGAGCTAAAGGTACAAACACAAAACCTTACAAGTCCTGTGGGAACATCATACCTAAAATCTAACCTCTCTATCCAACAACCTGGTACATTGCCTGCTTAGAGCAGTGCTCAGGACTGCACCAGAATCAGCTGTGCACTGCCCTTAAGCTCTTTGTTCCCTCTCCCCACCTGCCCCAGCTGCCTTGGTGCTGTGGAGTCTGGCAGTAGTGATCAATGGATGGAAAATTATTCTTTTCTCATCCCCAGGTTCCCCCAGTCACATCAGGGTATTTACTGGACCATGAACTAGTAAGCTGTGAATGAAAACTGAGCATCAGATGCTAAGAGAAGGGAGGAATTCTCCCAAAATGAATTAATATTTTATTTGTGGGGACCCTCATGGCAGGGAGGAATGATGAATCTGACTCCATGTTCTCAGAAGGCTAATTTATTATTTTGTGATACTATATTATATTAAAGAATACTAAACTATACTATATTAAGAATATAGAAAGAACTCTCCAGAGCCCCGACACAGCTCAGCACTCATTGGCCAGAGTCAAAACAACTCACAGCAGAATCCAATGAAACAATCACCTGTGGTAAACAATCTCCAAACACATTCCACGTGAGCAAAACACAGGAGAAACAATCAGATAATTATTGTTTTCCTTTTCTCTGAGGCTTCTCGGCTTCCCAGGAGTAAAATCCTGGGCGAAGGGAGAATGTGAATGTGACAAATTAAGTTACTCCTTCTGGGCAAAAAAGGGAGAGGAAAAGCGTGGCTTTGGGGAAATGCCACTTGGAATGGCCCTGCAGCCCCAGGCAACTCACCACGAAGTGTTTTCATGTGCTGGACAGCCATCCTGAGCACGGTGAGCTTGTCCAGCTTGCGGGACATGGCGTTGCACGTGGGCACCAGCGAGGCCAGCTCGTCGATGAAGCTGTTCATCTTATCCCTGCGCCGCTTCTCGATCTGGCTGTGAGCCTCCCTGCACACACACACAGCAGGGCACGTCAGGCACGTGGGGCAATGGCCAAAGCAGCCTCCTCAGGGTGAAGGAGCCACCCTCATCCCCATGGAAAGGACAGCAGACACTCTTCAGATATTTAATGTATGTGAAATACAAGGGGCAATGCCCAAAGCAACCTCCTCAGAGTGAGGGAGCCACCCTCATCCTCATGGAAAGGACAGCAGACACTCTTCAGGTATCTGATGTACGTGAAACACAAAGGGCAATGCCCAAAGCAACCTCCTCAGAGTGAGGGAGCAACTCTTATCCCCATGGAAAGGACAGCAGACACTCTTCGGACATTTGATGTACATGAATCACAAGGAGCAATGCCCAAAGCAACCTCCTCAGGGTGAGGGAGCCACCCTGTTATCCTCACAGAAAGGACAGCAGACACTCTTGAGGAATTTTCCAAGGTAGAAATCCATTAGGATTTGGGTAGAATGTACAGCTTTAAGTAGCTTGCTGTGTAGTCTAGCTGCAAAAAGCCTAGGATCAGAGAAACTGCTTCAGTGAAAGACAGAGATAAGGAGGGGGAGAAGAGGGTGATAGAGCGAGACAGAGACTGCTGTGAGAGCAGGTCAACTTGACCTAGGAATTCTTTCTGATAAAGAAGAACTAGTGGCAAATGTCACATGAAATTTGTGAAAATGAATATGCATGAACCTATTGTGAAACTGTATGCATATGTATCTGAGAGGGGGATAAAAAGGGACCTGAAGTTCCCAGAGGTACACATGTCTTTTAAGGAGAGCAATCTCTGCATGCATCCAGTGATGTGATAAACATACCGGCTTTACAACTTTCACAAACTTGTGGGGTTTTGTTTATCTCTGCAAAACACTCTTCAGATATTTGATGTACATGAAACACAAGGAGCAATGCCCAAAGCAACCTCCTGAGGGTGAGGGAGCCACTCTATTATCGCCATGGAAAGGGCAGCAGACACTCTTCAGATATTTGATGTATGTGAAATAAAAGGGGCAATGCCCAAAGCAACCGCCTCAGGGTGAGGGAGCCACTCTGTTATCCTCATGGAAAGGACAGCAGACACTCTTCAGATATTTGAGACACTCTTCAGATATTTGTTGTGAATTCTTGGAGTGAAGAACAGTTATAAGCAACGGGAAAGGTTGCAGCACAAGCTCGTGGTTTGCCAGAAAACACACCCAGTGTTGGTCAGGTTTATATTTTCCCATGTTAAGATTCACTGCTAACACTTTCATAACCCACTATGGAGTCTGAAAGAAGAATGATGAAGAATGCAACTTTACCAGAAACATATCTGGCTTCAATCCCAACAGCAATGAGGTGACTACAACCAAGTTACTCACCAGATTAGTTTTTTCACTCTATGCAAACTTAATGAAAAATGTCAACAGCGCAAAGATATGGAAAAATAAGGGAAGGTCAAAGCTAGAAAAAGATATTTGCAGAAGAAACATGCACAAATAATTCATACATGGCAAAAAGAGAGAGACAATTCTTTTAAATGTATTTATTTAGAGCATTACCTTGCATTTTTTATCCTGCCTTGCTGGTCTGCATACTCCAATCTGTAGAGAAATGACATCACAAAGTTACAATGTTGAAAGCCCTCAACCCAACTCTTTTACTGCATCTCACATCCTACTGATCCTCATTAGCATCAGGTTTTTTTAGCATTTGAATGTTTATTTAACCTTTCTACAGCAAAGATCAGTGTCTGTAACATTGCACCTCAGACTTGGGGGTGTTTTAGCTTGTCTGCTCCATGTTGTTTAAACTAAGGTTGTTTAGATTATTGCTTCATCCCAACAAAGCAATACTTTGGGACCACAGTGACACTGAGAACAGGCATCCACAGTCAGGATCCTGTGTCAGAACTGTGGAACTGAGATTTCAGTGACTGTATCAACAGTACCTGCCATGTTGGTCATCTTTATCTGTATCCATACCTTCCCTGCAGAAACAGAACAAAGCAACACATCACAAATTCAGCAGGACTGGCAGAACTGTTATCCAACCACCATAAAGTCAGAATCAAGTATTCCTGCCACCTCTAAATCACAAATACAAAAATAGGAGTATAAAAACAACAACCTGGAAGGACTAAGGAAGCTGTGTGGTTTTTGCAACATTAAAACATTTTCTTAAATTAGTTGTGTCTCCTTCAGAACTCACTAAATGGCACAGTTTGATGTGTTTGACAGTAAAACATGCTGCAGTTCAAAGATATCATCTGTTACAAAAATGTTTTTCAGTTAACTACAGGAGGGGGAAAAAACCCAACCTTGTGCAGATGGTCTCAGAATTATGCCTTTATGTTCTACAGCTCAGTTTGCCTTATAGTAGTTGATTTTGGGGTAGAAAATGGTAACAACCTAAATTAACACACCACTGGAGATGGCCAAATGCAAGGAGAGAATAAAAGTCTGTTTGAAACTAACCAGGCACACTGGAAATTAGTACAACTTTCAGTGTAGATACATGGTTTGCTTTTGTTTCAACATAAAGGAAAGAAGGAGGCATGAAGAATAGAAACAATCCCCTTCATTACATTCAATATTGTAGCCACATGTGTACAGAAGAGGAGAGTATAAAAGTTTTCATAGCTGCACTTGGTAGAAAAAGCTAAATGCTCATGACTACACATCTTTTTTTAGACAGAATAATTAGGAAGAGAATGTTTTGGTTTACATAAACTGTGCTCACATGGACATTCCTAGGCCTGCTCATTCTGGTTTCATTTCTACCTGTGAATTTTAGGTCTATGGAAAGGAAAAAACACTGGGCATCTTTTTCAAGTGAAACCAACGACTAAAATATTTATACTTACTCAAAAGGAAAGCCATCGAGTCTGAAAAGAAAGAAAAATAAAGTACACCATATATAGGAAATAAGAACAATGTCTTACATTTTCTGCTGAAAGTCTCAAGCTAATTCAGATTCTACTTGAAATGAAAAGCACAATGAAAACAGGACAATAGCAGTGAGCACTTTCTAAAGAAACAAGCTTGTTCAAATTAATCTACTTTCCGAAAGAATAATTCTGCTTTTTCAGAAAAGAGAGCATAGTTCATGGCACTTAATGTGAAAAACTAATAAAATAACTAACCTAAATTATGTTATGCAAATCATTGAGATATTGTTTCATCTTCAGAAAGGAAAGATCTGTGCTTTATGCGTGTTGTCCTTGTGGTTAGATAAATGGGATTTCAGAGGACTCTAAGGCCAGAAATAAAACATAAAAATAAAAATAAAGTATCCCAAGTTTCTCAGGTTTTGATTCTTGCCCAGCAGGACAGATGGACAATTTTGCTTTAGTCTAAAGTCCCAAGCTGAACTTTATACAGACTTTATGACATCACAAGGGAATTAAACAGAATTTCTACATGCAAACTAACTGCTGGCATCACTTCAAGACTGTAAAGTGACCTGAAATACCACTGAGCTTTAGCATGATAAGAGGCTATGTTTTATAAAAGCCTTATGAAAAAGTCTTTTCATCTCAGCCAATAACATACTAGTTATTCCTGTTCAACACTGGAGACGAGCCCTCTTAAAAACAAACATGGTAGCCTTTCATTTTAGTGCAGTATTATTCATTTTAGTGCAGCATTATTCACTGCACTCTTATATAAATTATCGTTGTGAGTAGTTTTAAAATAATATTAATAATAATGCTAAATATTTTCTTCATCTCCCAGTGCGCACACCTGAGCTCTTGTCTTAGCCACTGACTGCTGATGCTCACCATTTACCAGCCACCATTTACCACCTTTAGCTCTGGGATGTTTGTGTGTAAAAACCCCCAGAAAGCCAAATCTACAACAGGCACAAGGTAAGTTATTAATGCAGCAGGGTAGTTTATTTTCTCATCATGTAATATTTCAATGGACAGCATGAATCCCAGGCAAAATCCACTGTTCATAGTCCTGTGCATGAAGCCTTGGACCACAGCATTTGACAGCTGTAAGCTGGGCAGGGATTTTCCTGGAGCAGGCGCAGCAGAAAGAACTGAAAAGCTGTTGTGGAGAGCTGAAATTGCAGCTGATGACTCCTCTTGCTTGTATTCCAGAGGTGAGCAAAGAACCACCCTAAACCACTGGTTCTGCCTCCCTTATCCCCTGGCCTCACTGGTACAGGAAGCACCAAACTGGGCACTTGGATAATTGATGTAATAAAATCATTAACAGGTAGCAGAAGTTGAATAGCAGCATTTCTGAACATTTGCCCATACATACACATAAAAGGAGGGGTCAAGGCAGCCCCCCTGAAGTTCTGCTTTCCAAGAGGAATATTCAGTAGCCACCATTTACTTTGCAACACAAAATGAACTATGGTATGACTATGTGACAAGCAGTGGTGTGTGGTGTGTGACTACAAAATAAGTAAACTTATTTTACTGAGGATTCAAGGAAACAGTTTTCACACATTTTAAAAAATGCACACAAAACCTAAAGGGCAGAATTATACCTTACAAGAACAAGCTGTCTTTTGGAAAAGAGGACTTGAGTAATGCTTCCTACCCAGAGGAATAAAAATGGAGAAATCCTTTCTAGAGAAGAGGAAGGTGGTAGGACTGAGGCTGTTCACTCAATTTTGTAGTACTCAATTCGACTAGAGGGACACATGTGCTTTTCAGGGAAACTAAAGGCACTTCAGAGAGGTATTTAAATATTTTGTGCCTAAGTTCTCCTAAAAAGAATCTAATTCTTAATTGTGATGCTCAGCACGGATTAAAAATTCTGCTCCTCCTCGTAAAAAGAGCTGCCAACAATCCAAAGGCCCTCAGCAATAAAATCTGTGCTAAGTTACATAAAAATGGACTCTGTGGCTGGATGAATGAATAATGGATGTGGGCACTCACAAGTTCCCCTGCAGCCACACTTTGTGAAGTTACAATGCAGAGGAGGCTTGCACAGGCACTTGCACTAAGTAGGTTGCTCTTGCTGCTCCCATTACAGGTCTGGGCGTTTGGCAAACTCTGCTGTGGCCTTCACTGTTCTACAGCAGAGGTGGTGGGAATTCCTTCTACAGCTCAGAGCCTCTACAAGATTAAACCACTTGATTAAAAGGAAGACAGCTCTAATGCCTCAAACCAGAGACTATTCTGATTCATTTTCAAATGAGAGACCAAAATAGCTCCATCAGGTAAAGGCTGGCAGCACACTGATAGGAACTGACTAAATAGGCAAAAAATAGGTGAAAAGGAACTATTCCTAGTTTTGCTTCCACTTTTCAATAAATTTATTATTTTCCCCTTCTGTTAGTCAGACATTGTACTTCCTATGTAAATGGTCAATATATAACCAACCTTCACACAGTACATTTCATCAGTGCTAATTCCATTCCCTCACCAGCCAGAAGTTTTTCTCCTCAGCTTTACCCCATTTGATAGCCCTCAATTCTAGCTGCACTGGGATGACAGCTTTATTATTATTATTATTAAATAATGAACTTGGCTCTTAGTGCACAGTAGCTCTCTTCTTTATTAAAACCTTTAAAGCAGGTTGTAAAGCAGAGGTTATTTAAAAACTGCTATAAACATTTCTATAGTCTTCCCCACTGTATTGTTGTGTTACCACCTCCTTTTAGCAGTGCTAAATCAAGAGAAATCCAACTTACTGATAATCAGTTGAGCTTCCCTTTCTTTTCCTATTACAGTCCATTCCTGAAGTGCTAAGGGAACTGGAGATCAAGTCAGCAGGGTCTGGTGACATAAAGTCACTAATTGTAGAAGATATGTCCATCCTTTGGTCTGCCATTGGACTGTCTAACATTAGGGAAGAAATAAAAAACAACCCCCCAACCAAAAGCACTGCATTAATATAAGGAGACATATATATATTTTTAACCAAAAAAGTTATCTCAAACTTAGCATTCTTAAAAAACTGTAATAATCACTTTCTATTTTTCCCTCTTGCTGTAAAAATAACAGGTAATTTCTCCTTTCCCAGTTACTGCTCTATGGAGTATTGCACACAAGCCATGACCATTCTCCAAACACATTATGGAGCACAATTGTTTTTCAAGATTTGTCAGAATGATCTTGGCTTACTCTTATGTTACCTGCCCACCCAATTGCTTCTTCCTAACAGGAATATTTCTGACACTTGTTTTAATGTGTCTCTGCATTTGAAGATCATATCAGAGCTCACCAACTTTTAAAGCTCCATTTCCACTGAATTCAGAACATTTCCATAGAAATGAACACCTCTGCACAGCAGACTCCACAAATAAACATACTAGAACCCAATGGTGGTCACAGAAGTCTAGTTAAAGATAGAAATTAATCTAATTGGCTTTTTAATCCTCTAGACTGCAAGTAATTCAAATCTTCACTATTTAATCCACTAGACTGCAAATAATTACACTGTTGGAAGGAACCCTGTGGAAAGTTCCCTGCTAAATAGCATCAGCTGTGAAAGAGAGGAGGTTTTACCTGAAGGTCTGTCTTGGAAGCCTGAATCCACTTGGGCAAAGATGATGATGCTCAGCCCAAAGCAGCTGATAACCTTAGAACTCTTCCATGCCTCATGTTCTGTTGGTCAAATACCTTCAAAAACCTGAATGGGAGGAAAAACCAGCAAGCTTAAAAAACACCTTAAAAACAATTAGTTTAGTCACAGTTTACAAAAGCAATAGATGTTTCCAGCTCAGGGATCAAATACTCCTTTCCTTACAAGGTGCAGAAGCTTTATCCATCCATCCAAAGGGTTACCTGTTGGGATGTGCCACTCCTAACATCCTGTCAACATGATCACACTGCAACCAACTCTGCTGAAGCATGTATGAAGACATGATATAAGTTGTTAGCCAAAAAAAACCTAAAGTTGCTTGTTATCATTTTCTTCAGCTCTGCCAGAACAGCAAATTCAGAATTTCTCAAGCTTAAATTATCTAAATATCTGCTCCTGGCACTGTAAGATCAGGCAAGTCACTGTCGTGGTACCACCAGCTACTGAGGGGAGGATCACTGTGGCTGAGGGCTCACTGTCCATCCCACCCAACAACTCCTCTGTGGTCCTTTCCCAAATAAATAACCCAACCCCTTTTCCATTTCTGACAATGTGTGGACATACTGCTGGAGGCACAGTAAGAGGCCACTGGCACCAGAACTGACCAAAGCTAAATCAGCACAAATTGAAGTCAAATTAAATGAAATGCCATTGAATCCATAGCCACATTTGTTTTGCAAGGCTCTCATTCAGACCCATAGCTATTTTCCCAGCCGTCTGCTTTGTCTCTCTTAGCCCAACAGCTACAGACTCAATGGTGTTGCCGTGGTGGATGAGGTTGCTGCATCTCAATTTACCAGTTAAACCAGTCACTGGCTATTTATCTGTGCTAGGTTCAGACCCAAACCCATTCTCTTCAGTCTCAGCTGATGTGCAGAAATTAGTCATAGCTAAACTCAGTGCGTTTCTGAGCACCTCTCTGTGTGAGGGTGCAGGCTGAACTCACACTTCACTGCATTAGGAAACTTCATGGACCACCTGTGATGACCTCAGACAGAAGGCTGGGATGAGCTGGAATGAACAAAGAAAAAAAGGGGTGGAGGAAAAAGGGTTTGTAAGTTCACCCCAGTTCTCCCTCTTTAAGAATGCCTGCAATAGTCAGCATTTTAGCTTCAGAACCAGAACACTGCACAAGTCACCATGCACTAATGCAAAAACCAAACTGTTGTTCATCTCAAACAAAAATTTCATATCAGTTTTATATTAAAAAAATTTAAATCAAGTATCCATCCAGCTTTGCTATTTTATACCTGTCTATATTTGATAGTTCCATTCAGCTATTTTAAGCGTCTTGACCATTTGAGCAGAAAAAAATACATAAAGAGCAGAATTCTCAGTTTAATTTTCAGCCAGCCTTTTCTCTACCATGTCCCAAATGCTCACCCAGTCCTAACAATCACAGTCCTACATTTTAGCATCACAGGAGTTAAGAACTATGCATGTCTCTTGAAATGAGTTTTAAAGTTTAGAAGATGTCAACTCAATGATCAGAGCAAAAATCAGCATGCCCCACTAAACAGTGAACAGTTCAGAGAAATGTTTTTTCACAAAGCTTTCTTAAAATTCTAGGAAATTGAATATTTCTGTCTTTTCAGCCTCCACCTGCTGGATGTTCAATGCCTAAAAAAAATTCTCTCTGAGGAGAACCACAAAAGTTACCCATATATCTAAGCAAAGTTCAAATCTTCCATTTATGATGCCAAACTTCTTGCCAAAGTACTCTAAGGACCTACTTGATAAAAATGCCATGGAGTCTACTTCCTGACTGAATTCTCCTACAGAGGAGAATCAAATGCTATTTTGTCACCGTATCCACGACAGTTTGTCTCCACAGTAGTTTGGGACTCCTTGGGATTCCCTTTCCTTGCATTTCCTCTTCCTCTGATCCCTTGAAACAAGGCTAATGAGACAGCAAAAATAAATCCTACTGTTAGTCCCTTAAAAAAAAAAGTGAGATGGCACGTGACCAGCTTAATCACGCAGCAAAGCCGATCACGAGTACACAAACACCTCTGAGCAAATCAAGGTCACTGCCAAAGTAGGTCAGCTCATGAGCCAAGCCCCCAGCCAGAGTCAGCACCTCTTTCCACCAGCTCTGGTCCCCCAGGCAAGAGGCAGCCGTGCCCCAGGCACGCAGGGATTTGTTCTGAGAGAAATGCAATTCGTAACTTCATCAATCACGAGCGCCTCGGATCTCGGAGCGCGCTTTCGCAACGACAGAGGAAAACCGTGGCGTGGTTTCCTGAAGAAGTCATTGAAAAGATACTCACTGTCCCTGTGGGGGATGACTGAACCAAAAACAGCCCCAGAAAGGAAACCATCCACTTCCCTTCACAGCGGCAGTCCATTGCTGCAGTTAAGTGCCACAGCACAAGCTGGTACAAAACAGAAGAAGAGGTTCTTCATCTTCCCTGCTGCTGGAGGCTCTCTCACACTTGCACTCAGTGCTGGGGAGGTTTCAGCTCAGCAGCACGAGGGCTCCAAGGGTGCCCAGGATGATCCCAAGATGCAGACCAGCATCCATGGGCTCAATGCTGCAAGTAACATCAGAGCCTTTGTGTCCGTGCTCACAGGGGTCGGAGGATGAGGGAAGAGACGAAGATCTGACTCCATGTTTCAGAGGGCTGATTTATTATTTTATGATATATATTATATTAAAGCTATACTAAAAGAACAGAAGAAAGGATTTCATCAGAAGGTTAGCTAAGAATAGAAAAAGAAAGAATGAATAACAAAGGTTTGTGTCTCGGACAGAGAGTCCGAGCCAGCTGACTGTGATTGGCCATTAATTAGCAACAACCACATGAGACCAATCACAGATGCACTTGTTGCATTCCACAGCAGCAGATAACCATTGTTCACATTTTGTTCTTGAAGCTTCTCAACTTCTCAGGAGAAAAAATCCTAAAGAAGGGATTTTTCATAAAATATGACTACAAGCCTTTATTATGGAATACTCCATGGGAATCACAGGAAGATCTCTGAAGTGAAGCAGGGTAGTTCTCTTTGCCCTCAGTACTTGAGGAATACTCAGGTGAGAATATTTCCTACCTTCCCAAGATATTGATACTGTTTGGTTTTAATGGCACCCTAACACCATTTCCAATCACTCTGCACTTCCAGAAAAAGTGGCTTCCTCTCACATGCAGATGCATCTCACCACACTCTGGGGTGCAAAGAAGGGATTTTACCCTGCTGTGTTTGTTGAGGTCACCCTTTCACCACTGAGTCCTCAGCATGCCCCTCTGTTGGAATCCTGAACACTGAGAATTTTAAACTTTGTGTGCTGAAAGGCACAGACCCACCAGAGAACACTGCGTTTGACCTGAGGCCATGGAGAAGGCTTCCAAAATTGATTGGTAGCACTGGGATTATGGGTGTGTAGTTGGTTAGAAGTGTGTAATATCACAGGGTGGAAAACTTAGAGTTTGGGGTTTCAGAATATAGAAATAAATATGAAGCAAGATGGAGGCTTTAGGGTGGAGGCAGGCTGTTCTTCCTCCTTCTTCTCCATGGGTTTGGGTGACATTTTGTAATTGGGCAGAAAAGTCCCCATTGCAGCTCTGTGGGATCAGTTATTGGGTTAAAAGGGGAAATAATCCAGGTGTCAGTTCTCAATTGGATAATTTAGTCTTAAAAGCCCTTGGAACAAGAGATTGTTGGCCATTTTGTGCCTTCTAATGAAAAGCTGCTGAAATCACAGCAGTGAGACTGTTTCACTGATAAGAAATAATAACCACCTGAGTCCCAACATGAAATGCCATCTCAAGTGCCTTCAGTCCATACCCATCGGTCCCTGGCAGCCTGTGATTCACATCTGAGTTTTGGAACTCCTCCTGACATCATGTTTGGAGCCTGACCACCCAGCCAGAGCTGCTCCAGCCTCCTGCAGCCCCTCACCACAGGGACAGAGGCACAGCCCTCAGCTGCCCAAGAGACCCCTTTTCCAACTTCCTAAACAAAAAGCAGCAGGCTGGAGGGAGGCAGCCCATGAATTTTAGCCAGCCACAAAGCTAAAAGGCAAGTAATTTTGACATGGAGAGGAAAAAGTCTCCAATAAACAGAAGAAAAACTCCACGTGCAGTTTCTCAGCAGATCAATCTGTCCAGGTACACTCCCACACCAAAAGCATCTGCTCATCAGCAGAGTCTGAGACAAGGCAGAACAGGCACATCATGGCATCCCCTACAGCCCTTCAGGCTCTCTCAGTGCTGATGGAGACACACAACAATGCATTTTATCTTGTTCCCACAACACCGAGACTCTCAGACCAAGAGGGGTCTTGGTTCCTATTTTATGAGGGAAAGTACCTCAGCCTTTACTTCCAGCTACTTTAACAAAGGACTCCTCATTGCCTGAAAACCAGGAATGAGTGCTAACTAAAATAACTTCCTCTTGCACAAGGGAGCTCCGAACTAGCCTAGTGTCTCAGCAGCACTCAGTAAATGGGAAGGATCACTTCCCCAGCCTGCTGGCAGCACAACCCCTGACACAATCCAGGAGGCTCTTGGCCCTCTTTGCTGCAAGGGCACCCTTGCAGCCTCATGAACCATCAATATCTTTTCTGCCAAGCTCTTTTCCAGCTATCCAGTCCCTAATCTGTACTGAGACATGGGTTTTTTCCTCCCCAGGTGCAGGACTTGGCATTTCTCTTTGTTAACTTCCTAAGTTCTTTCTAAGATTTTTGGTGAGCCTTTTCTCTGGTCTGTAGAGATCCCCTACATGGTAGCACACTCATGTGGTGTCTCAGACACCCCTCCCAGGCTTGCATTTGTCTGCAGCTCTAAGTACAAAATTTCAGACAGCATGGAAGAAAAGGAAAACAGGCTGGTTCTGGAAAGAGAACCCAAAAGAATTTAAAAACCTCCAAAAATCCTAGCTCATGCTCTTTCCTCAGTGAAGCAGACAAATATGTGTTTCAGGGTGGTGTAGTCACATGGGAAGGCCTTGTGGATAGAAGTATGGATCACCTTCAAAGAAGAAAAGGAAAAATGGATCAAAACCAAAGCCAACCCATGTCACCTCCACGAATCAAACCTGTTTAGACCAGCTGTGCTAAGTATTAGTATTGTTCATTAAGTATTTCCCTCCTTAACAGGGGACTGGGATATACCTGTAGTGACAGAGCTCAAGGTCTAGCTTAAAATTCTACAGAACAGCCACTGGAGACACCATCAGAGCCAGCATCCTGATTATCCACTGACTCTCAGTGGAGATTCCATCAGAACCAGCATCCTGATTATCCAGCTGACCCTCACTGGAGACACCATCAGAGACACCATCAGCATCCTGATTATCCACTGACCCTCACTGGAGACTCCATCAGAACCAGCATCCTGATTATCCACTGACCCTCACTGGAGATTCCATCAGAACCAGCATCCTGATTATCCACTGACCCTCAGTGGAGATTCCATCAGAACCAGCATCCTCATTATCCACTGACCCTCACTGGAGACACCATCAGAACCAGCATCCTGATTATCCACTGACCCTCACTGGAGACACCATCAGCATCCTGATTATCCACTGACCCTCACTGGAGACTCCATCAGAACCAGCATCCTGATTATCCACTGACCCTCAGTGGAGATTCCATCAGAACCAGCATCCTCATTATCCACTGACCCTCACTGGAGACACCATCAGAACCAGCATCCTGATTATCCACTGACCCTCACTGGAGACTCCATCAGAACCAGCATCCTGATTATCCACTGACCCTCAGTGGAGATTCCATCAGAACCAGCATCCTCATTATCCACTGACCCTCACTGGAGACACCATCAGAACCAGCATCCTCATTATCCACTGACCCTCACTGGAGATTCCATCTCCCCTCACATCTCAGCAGTGTCTGCTATCTCTACCTACCCGCTGAATCCCAGCTGCAAGAGGGTTCCAGCAAAGCTTGCCAGTTTGCAACCATTACTGAAAGCTTGGTCTAGTGTCAGCTTCTCCTCAGCCAAGATTTGACTCTTTGAGCTCTTATTCTTTGAAGCGAGCTTATGCTGCCCT